CTTTTATGTATAATAATTTATTAGATGTATTTAATTTAATACAGAACAATGTGCATACTTCGTAAATATATTTTAGTATACTATAATAAAACTATTATTGTTTAACAAAAGACAACAGAAATTGCAATGTATTTTCATTCAATAGCATAATATAGACATCTTTGTGATTAATTTTGTTAATTTTATGCAATAACAATGGACAGATAGTTCATTTTATTTGTATAAATTATATTTAAACATCGTAAGATACATATAACTGAGTACGATATGTATATATGTATTGATGGGAAAAAAGGAATACACACTCCCAATACGTAAAAATATGTGATTTAAGGTTTTAAATAGTTTTAAGCAGTACAACGCATTCATTTATGTACATGAATATTACTGTTTCAAATTTGATTTGAATATTTTCACATATTGGTCTTACGTTGTTTGTGCCAGTTGATCTGTCATCTCAGATTGCAAAATAATTCATAATTATGACTATTCCATCATCCATAACCAGCCAAAAACACAAAGCGTTTACTGAGGAGTCTATGAGAGACAAATCAGTTGAAGATCACTCTGGTATTGGAGCTGTAGTGCCGTACTAGCCAAGCATTGTAATGTATAAACTTAAAATCATAAAAAAATGATATTATTGACGTTGAAAAACAACCAATAACTGGTGTAATCCAAAAAAGGTTTTAGAAAATATAATTACTACCATTTTTAACTCTGCGGCGATGACGAGGAAGATACAGTTGACGACGTCATGGAAATAGTGGTCTTCTGTTGGTTGTCTATATGGCTCGTCGTCAAGCGGAGACTATAGCCCGCAGAAATCACTGCAATCAATGAAGACTCCTCAGCGACGCTGTGCAAGTGATGGTTTATATGAACGAACCGCGGCAAAGGAGAGTTAAGTGTGGAAAAGCTTCGGATAGATAGTTGGCTGGTTTGATCCGGGAGCCACACTTGGACAACACACTCAACGCGATGGCGGGGCATCAAATGCGTTTGTTCTGGGATTGTGCAGTTGCTCCTGACGTGAATAGCGTCCATTACGCCCAAATGTTATATCCTTTATAGCGGCCTTAGCCGAAGACATCGGACAGGATGACGGCGAAGCAAAGAATCAAGAAAGAGGACGGACAGTGCCCGCTGGTAAGTCATCCACATACATTCTACCGCCGCGGAGCGACTGGCTGCAGCACGACACGGCGACAGCGACTACAGCGGACAAAGCGGTTCTTAGAAGTCAATGATTTCCACCCTATGGCACTGTCGGTGATGACTGAATATTTGCGCACTGTGTGAGTGTTAGATTAACACGAACGACAGCAGTTAGCGACGAATAAACTGAACGTTTTAGGGGTATAGCGGGATGTGGGCAGAATATTAGTGGCCGATGGGTGACGTGACCGATGGGTGCTGGGGAGGAAACCACAGAGAGTAATATCAGAACTGCTGACTCGCTTTTTCCCCGCGGTAACCCGTCGGCTGAATCTATTATAGGTACATGAGGTATCTCATCAAATATTTCTGCATAATTAAATTACAATTATGTTTAATACTGTGACATCTATGTATAAACATGAAAAAATGTTTTTTTACAAATAAACAAACGTCGGATAGTAACGTATAGGTATAGTTAATACGTTATTCGCTAAATCACATTAAACATTTTATTTATTTTTGGGTTTTGTTAGGTATGTTAATGTAATTTCGGTCTGTAATAAGAATTCACCTTACTGCACCTTACTTAGTAATGTACTAGAGTATAGGTACACATGTACATCCGTTTTATGTATCTAAAAACATAGTATAATGTTTATAAATTATATGTTATGAAAATAATTACTACGTCAATTAAAAGTATAACCTAATACATACATTAAATATCTCTCTCGAATACCCAAATAGTTTCTATTAATTTAAAGTGTTTAGAGATATTTCTGTACTATGTGAAAATTATAATTTCAAATGAGATGCAATTGTACTATATTATGCTTAAATATAATGCAATATATTAATAAATAGGTAGGTATGTTATTGCTACCGACACACGAATATACGTGAATCATTATGTCCTCGAGAAATAAAATATAAATATATAATACGTAATAATAATATGCATCTTGGTATACAGACATACAGCTAAACATTCTTGTAATCCAGCGATAATAACTATGTGTGTAACGAAGGAGAACGTATTTATAATATTATTATTATTATTTTTGTTATGATATAGCATATATGTATGTACAAAATGTAACTATACAAGTACATGACAAAATGTATACAGTTTTATAACTGTACATCATAATAATTTCATTCCTAATTGACAAGAAATCTTTAAGATCACACGAGAACTCATTTGTATTATAATATGAACTTACAACTTACAAGGACAAAACTCGCATTAAAGTTTTGAAATGTTTCAAATTATAATACATCATCGAGTACCTATAAGACTTATAACAATATTAATATAAAAAACTCTTTCCGGTAGAAAATAATTTTCGTACACGAATAAGTCATACAAAATACGTTTTATAGTGCATGTGTTTGTTTGGCGCAGTTTATTATTCCGATGAATATTTTAAGGAGAAATATTTTAATTTCAAAGTGCTTGGAAAAAAAGCATTCTTTTAAAACCGTTGTGTTTCTCGGTTGAAACCTACCACCTTAGAGGGGAATGAGCTCCTTTGAATTACGAACGTAGGTTTTGTGCCACTTATTTTTATTTATTTTTTTAACCGGCTACACCCTTTAATAATTTGGCACGGATTTTATGATCTCTCGAAAAGAACTTACCCCCATCCGACCCCTATAAACCTTTTACAGCAAAAACGTCTCACCCATAAGTTGTCCTTTTCTCGGCATGCTTTTCAAACGACTCTTAGAAATTTCCGATTGTTGTACGGACGGGAAAAAATATTTTAAAAAGCTGATCGATTTTCTATTATAATATCCGCAGTCATCACGCAATAAATAATGTGCATACTATACGTAATAACATAATATTTTATATTATAACTTTATATTTATTAATTAAAAATTGTAAAACTGATTTGACTTTAATGATTTCTAAATCATAAATTGTTTTGTAGATAACAGTAAATAAAAGTAAGATTAGTAAGAACAGCATATTTAGTATACAAAATACTTGTAATCTCGAAACTTAAATTCCCGATTCTAATTATAATGATTGTCGAAAAATAATTACTTAAAATATCTTGTCAACTTTCGATTGAATCTTATAGACGGAAAAAAATTGTTTTAATTAAATGTTACATACGTTTTAATAAATAATTGTACAATTCCAATTGTTTTTATTATAACGTGCAATCTGAACTGTGTGTTGTTTTTTAATGCTTTGGCAGTGAAAAAATAATTTTTTATTTCTATACAATGCCATCAACGTTTCGGAATCATTTCCAATCGTCGGGCCATCTTCGTACCTGCCACTAGGTATATTATAATGATTAATAATTATTATTACCGTAGTCATATATATTTAGAGATGCGGTTGGCCACGTAATACACTTGAGGATGAAGAGCGGAAGACAGATACAGGGACACAGAGTTGAAAAGAGATGGAAGTAGAGAGAGATAGGGAGAGAGGGAGAATTTAATTATAACGAATTACGTTTTGTTCGTATGATTTTGTATCCACCGAAGTCCTGAAAAATTATTTAATAGTACAGCTCGGAGACGGGCGGGTTGAACTAAAAATCAAACGATACGCCCACGAAATTTGTCTAAGTCACCTGACTGGATAGTCAAATGGAACGCCTACGGCAATTTGTCCCGATTGACGTGTTTCTTTCTTTCCCATTTTTTTCTTTTTATTATTCTTGTTTTTGGTTTTTTTTTTTTTCATTCCGAGGTACCTTATTTTTTCTTTATACACGCAGTCGACGACGGGCGCCTACGTTTAAATAATAATATACGCGTGATGACTTCTCCAGCACCGACACCGGGTCGCTACGGTTAATAACAATAATAACGATAATATTAGGTATATTATATAATACGCGTTACATGTACGGCGGGCGATGGTATAATATTTAAAATAATGAATTACGATAACACATCCGTCTTATTCGCCAAATATTAAAATACACATTTTCCCTTAAAATAATCTTTCGCGTCTACAACGCACGGCGCTTTATTAATTACGCCGGAAACGTATAATAAGCGTACACAACATAAAATATTACACGAATTTTTGTTTTTCGCATATATATATACATACAATTCTCTACCGGAAATCCTGTGTACGAAAATCAATTATGTTGCATTTAAGATTGTCGCTTTATATCATAATTCTACATGTATATGTTCACTAAGCAATGTGTACTCAATTATTATGTTAAAATAATATATGCAGTATCGTCGCATATTCGATATACTATGTATACAAAAATAAAATAAATGGAAATTAAGTTCGGAAAACTGTTAGCAACTCCAACGCGTGTGTATATATACATGTATGCATTATTGCATTTACGCACTTATTATTATATTTTAGTATAGGATGCAATAAAAATGTCAAAATGAATAATTATTAAACTTTGTATGCGATATCATCCCGCACGTGGAAATACAATATTATAAGTCGGGTAAGAACAGCTAAGTACATTTTTATGCCGATTTCGTTCAAATCGAGGAAGTTTACATGCGTTTACTATTATTTTATTATAGTTTAGGCGTATATAAAAGTTTCAGTGTACGTTATATTATTATAGAATATATAATTATAATATTTGAATCTGATGCACGAGTGCAGTTTTGATTAACTGCTACACATAAATAATAAATATATAATATTCAAAATTGTTATACTGAGTTTGTATGTATTGTTAAAAATTTTAAATATTGTCCGAACAATAACATTTAAATATGAATATATGTATATTGTGTACAAATACATGGTGAACAATAAAATGTTGGTGTTTTATTTTCTTAAAACGTTTGAAATAAAAAGGATATTATATTGTTTTTTCCAGGAGTTCGTAAAACTACGTGTTTATTCGATGAAAAACGTAAGTCAAAATAGAAAAAATATCATATTTATACATGTAACATAAATAATTTAATAATGTTTTAGATAGAAATAGTTGACCGTTTTACAGTATCGTAGAGAGACATAATATTATGCAATTTATTATATTATACGCGTACGTACACGTGGTATGATAATATTATTACGACCGCGACAGCGAAGTCCGAAACGCCATGTATATAGGATCCATAGCTACATAATATATTACAATGTTACTGCACGATATAAATCACTGACGATTATCATAATTGCTGTTTTCGTTTAAGCCATTATTTTTAATCGAGGAAATCGTCCGCTTATACGATTATTTATAATAATAATATATTATATAGAATACGTGTATAGTATAATATTATGATGAATAATATATCGTACGACGGGCCTCTTACGTGATCGTGATGAATCGAGTAAAAACGAAAAAAAAACACTTTATTTTAAATATATTATTCATACGTGACTAATATTTATCATGATGTTTAAATATATAAATACATATTATGTGAACCATGTAGGTAAATTTTGCCAGGAGGTTTGCAGCGGTAGGTACGTATAGTTGGTACCCATATAGGTATAATATAGGACCTACAGGCTACAGTCGAATCTCACGATCTGCAGACGGCGGTGGGAGAGTGTATATAGAGGTTAAAAAATAACCTATAAATACAAACATACATATTATAACACACACACACATACACATGCATATATACATCGGTCGTAAAAAAACGGTGGCGAGATAAACAATATTTTTACAGAAAAAAACGTCTATATACACCACGCACCGCACACGATAATAATATATAATAATAGTATAACAACGACGACGGCGGCGGCGACAACGACGGCGATACGCGCGGTACACTTCCCTTATTTTTTTTTCTCGCGGTATATACGTATATACACGACCCTTATACTTCCCCCCCCCCCTGTCCACACTGCCACACCACCCGTTGAGCTCAGTGGGGTCCTTCGGCGGCGACAGACGCACCGCGAAAAAGAACGTTGCGGTTTATACACTGTACGCCTTTGAGTATACATATATAAATACCAAGATAAGAGTCGGAGGCTGCAGCGGAGGAGCGAGTTTCCTTCCGATACATTTCATTCCGTTTTTGCGCCGGCCCCGGTCGAGATAAACGCGCGTAGCAAAAAACCGTTCCCTACCGCCGCCGCGTCTTTTCCGCTAATAAACCAATGGCGCAATCAACGCTTTTCTACCCCTACTCCTGCCGCACTTACAAATCGTGGCAGGGGTGGTCGACTCGAGTTCGATCGATCTATATGGATGTGTGTGTGTGTGTGTGTGTGCGTGTGTGTGTATGTGTGTATTATATTTATATTATAGTAGTGTATAGCAGTAAATAAGACATCGTTATATTTAAAAAATATATTTTTCAACGTGTGTTACTTGCAGCTGCAGGGCGTTTAAATTGTTTATGCTTAACCCACTTTTGGTGATTTGCGAGAAATTAAATCGTATAGGTATCAAAAATATCCATATAGCCAAGCTACTGCCAAGCTCGAATTAAGGGGGCCATGGAAGGGTCTGTTAGATCACATATGGGGCCCATAGTCTCATTCTACAAAATATTTATTAAATGCACAAAAAATGTTCATATTGCTAAAAAAGAAAAAGTAATAAATGTATGATACAATTATTATTATATTTGATAATAATGTAATAAACTTTGTAAATTAATGAAATTTCGAGTAAGTTGTGGACAATTTATTTTAATGTATTACGTGGTAGTAATTGATATTATGCGATTTTGAGATACCCACGTGAGGTAGTAATATTTTTAAATAATTGATTTATTTGAATTGGTTACTGTGGTGATTGCAGTGAAAGTAGTACTGTAGGTTGCTACAAATAAGAATAATTCATGGTACAGCGTCGCCAAGTTGGTCATTGCTCACTTTTTGTGGCCCTAGTTAATAGTATCTTTGCTTAAATAATTTTTAATTGTGTAGTGTAAATATAACTTAATACTAATATAAAATTTGCGTATTAGTTATTTAATAAAATTTTTGATTTGAAACGATAAAATTAAAAAAATATAAATAACTATAAAATATTAAAATTATTAAAATTGAATTGTATAGTTAGCTACCTATTGTGTCTATGATGAGAAAACGAGTTTCATATAATATTCAATATTTGTCACAAAACGTTCGAGATAAGAAATAGTTTATTTGAGACATACTATAAATCTATAAGCTGCACTATTCGTTAGAAGTTTGATATATTTTACTGTTATGGTCTTGATTGTGAGGGGATGACATTTTTAAAGAAAATTAAATAGGGGACGAAATAATTGAATGAAAAATGTGTTGACAAACCACTCCCTCTCAAAACTGAAATGATGCCGTCATGCCGACAACCAATGCACCAATACGTGGAATGTATAAAGTGAAGCATAGATGACTTTTTAAGTTTAATGTATACATACGACTATACAAGTATAAAGTTTTATTCTTTCTTTACGTATTCTAAAAATTGTATTATGCAACATCTAGAACATTGGACTTTCAAAATGAATTAAAATAAGAAGTAACTTTTGATTTTACAATGAAGTGTACTTTTTTGTGTTTGTCATCACCTTATTGGGCACTAAAATGTTTAGATTTTAAGGGTCAAATTTAAAGCAATTGTTCTCATAATTAGTTTCATACTGTAACCAAAAAATCTAAAAAATTTATAAATATTAAACACATTTTTTTATAGATACCTATCTTAAGTTCAAATTTGGAAGAAATTAGATATTTAAACGATGAATAACAATACTATTGACTGTTGTACCTAATTCAAAAATATTATTTGTGGGCTCTTGAAACTTTTTAAGTATATTATTACACTATATCAGCACAATGTGATTTTCAAATATCAAATGTATCATTTTCGGAAATAAATTATTTAAATAGCAATTATATCATAAAACATACCATTAGTGGTTATAGACTGACAAAATACAATAACTCCAGCTGGAAAAATAGGTTTTTGTTCATCATTTTGCATCATTTATCTAAAATTTAACACATCGATTACAATGGCCTCATGACATTTAATTTACAACAGAATCGTTACCCACTTGCCTACCTTTTATCACGTTTAAAGACATAATGATAAACACATACATCATATTCAACATTTTTATAAATATAATTGTATATTTTAATATTTATATCACAGAATTGACGGCAATTTCCATGTATTATCGTCGATTTTATATGCAGACTGTTTAACGTATTTAGACGTGAACCCGAGGAACGCAGAGTAGTATAAAAGACGATTTTAGGCGGCCAAAAGTACTATTTTTAAAACTAAAAAATTATTGTTTTTTTTTTATCGAACGTGGGGTACTGCAGCTATACGATTATTGTTGCAAGAACATAGTACAAACGCTAATATAGGCTGCAACGATAATAAATCGGATGATATTGTAATTATTAAGGATTATAATAATATTATCGAAACGAATTCGTTTGGTTTGTCGGAATTCATACATTTAATTTTAAGCATATATTTTTTTCATCGTTATACAATTTTTTTTCGTTTTTTTTTCGCCGTGCACACGAGAGGAACGGATTATTATTATACGATGCCGCTGCCTGCGTCCCGTCGACGAGTTGGAACACGATAAGAAGGGTAGTGGGAGGGGGTTGGCCGCTGTGGCGGGTGAGGGTGCGGGCGGTTCAGCGCGGGGTGGCGGCTCGTTTTGCATAAGCGCCGAGGGGTGACGTACGCGGCGGTGGCGCGCGCGACAGCCGCTGCAGCGAACAAATTGAAAACCGCTTAGTGTTTTAATTTAAATAGCGAGCGCGACACGTTGCCGCCGCCGCCGCACACACTCAAAATGCCCACAAATACCGCCGTTCCATCACGTGTGTTGGCGTGTATACGTATATAATAACCGCGAGAGCCTGGCGTAGAGGACGTCGAATAACCATCGTACATATAATATTATTATATTATAATGCATGTGCTCGGGTACAATATATTATAGTGTCCGGTCATCCGGCCGGAAACGCCGTGGTGTGTGTGCGCGTGTGGACAAACATACACAATCGGTGTGATTTCCTCCACCTACCCGCCACCCATATGGCATATATACGCGTCAATTTTGGTCGGGGGATGGGGCGAGCTATTTTTTTCTCTCGCTCGTGATTTTTTGTCATTTTTCTCATCCATTTTGCCACGATATTCGTCATTGCTCGACATATTATAAATATTATGCTATTATAATATTAAATAGGTATATAGGAGTTATGTGCACCGCAACAATGTACGATGATTTTTTTAAAAATATTATTATTTTATTAACCATAAATCACCTTACAGTACCGATACATTGTATAATAACACACAAAGTATCTATATACCGCATTGTACAACAATTTTATGATTTAGCGTTGTAATTACATATTATTATAATATTACTAATTATATCGGGTGCATTGTACTCGTCATTTGAACCTTTGTTTCGTTTTGTTGGTTTTTTTTGTACCATTTTTCAGATGATTCCGCATCGCCGACAATATTGAAATACGTTAAACAAACATTTAATTTTTTATCGCCGTTCAGCTCGGAAGCATTACCTTTTAGCTTTATTTTTCGTGCACGTGAATATTATATATATATATAACATATAAGTTTAACAATGGATGTATTATGCTAAAAAAAATAATCCAAATTAGGATTAAATCAGAGGCACGTTAATCACACCGTCTACGACCAGAGAACAATAATTGTATACACAATACACATATTATTAATTATTATTTTTCATACACACATATGCGTCGAAATATGTCATATAATTTTCAACGCATCGTTTCATCTCCGACACTAACCGATGTACCCCTCCTTTAAATCAGCTCTCCTAAAGCGTTTATATCATCATAACGGGCTGCCTTACAGCCGTCTTTTATTAGGTCTAAGGGTATAAGTGAATAACGCTATAATATTATATTATATTCTGC